ACAGGGACTTCGAGGAGGCTACAGGGAAGACAAAGCTCTTCTCCTGAGGTGAATCCAAGCTGCTCACGCAAGCCTCGAAAATGCTCCCCTCTTTTTTCACCTCCAGGTCCATGGGAGAAGTACTGTGTTTGCTACATCAGACTTGGTGTTGTCCCAGGAACTCTGGGGGGTTCTAACCTGGCATGCAATTTTGTTCGATAAACACACCAGGATGGCGATAGTAAAGTGTTTATTCTGCGCAGAGTCTGGTACCTGGGAATAATTTCCAGAGCAAGCACAAAAGCTCTCAAGTTAACAGAGTTTTTATACATTCTTGCAACAAGGGAAGAGCAGAGTCATAAACTGTACATCGCTCAGCCACAAAGCGATAAGCTACGCAGAGTGTGCAATTCTCAGTCCATGGATACGCTTGCGTTGCCCTCTACTCTATGCCTACACTTTTTACGGATACTCAAGAGACACCTGCACCAGCCATCCTGATCACTTTGTTGCCTTGCATCATTTACTTCCTGATTCTTGCTCATGCGCATTGTTAACCCTTTGCACACGCCACACTGAAAGTGTTCTTTTTCCTTCTGCTTATTGTGCAGTAGCAACTGCTAGCTGCCTTACTCCCCTATCATTGGCATAACTATAATGTTGCCTGTCGTTCCCCTTCTGAAGCTCTTCGTGTTTTTATGCATGGGATACCACTGCTATCAGTCTTGCTGTTGAACTTTTAGGAACCGGCACTGGCATTGATTGTATTAGGCTCTTTGTGGACATTAACTTGAGAACTTGGTGAGATTTCACTGAGTGGGTCTGGTTTGGTCCTTTTGCCAGCTTTCTGCTAATGGGTATCAATTATCCCATTGGAGTCTGCTTGATAGAAGCAACTATTGGTTTTCCAACAAGCAGGTTTTCTGGCCGTAGTTTTTTACAGCTCTTACTTTGGGGGTGCCATTTTTCAACTCCTGGCCCTTTTGTCTGCTCCGTGGGCTACTCCTAGGCGCTGCTGGCCACAGCCACTCACTGCCAGCACTTAGCGCTACGTCCCTCCAGCTTGATCCTGGGAGCACCAGCCGGGATGAAGGAGGAAGCTCCCTGGATCCCCCGGGACTCGGGTCCTGCCAGCTCTGTGTTGCTGGTTGCGTCAGCAATGGGTGCATTGCACGTTCAGTGGCAAGAGGTTTTGTGTAGCTGCATATTTTGCAGTGGACTCAACATATCGATAGAAGCCAGACCAACAGTGTGCATTAGCGTTGTAATAGGGATTCCTTCATACAAACACATGCCAAATAAAAATATTAACACTAACATGCTGAAGATATTGCATTGCACTGGTCTTATTCTTAGTTGGCTTCTGACACTACTGTTGTCTCACCTTCTTGGAAAGAATTTCAAGGGAGGGGGGAGGCATGCCTGGAAGGAGCAGGCAAGATGGATGAATATTTATGTTGCTCTTAAAAAAGGAAAAGCATAAAAAATGTGTGGAGCCGTGTATCCACTGAGAGGAATGGCAGGATGGGAAGGACAAAGAGCTTTAGAGATCCACTCAATCCCTTTCGGTTTTTCAATCTCCTTTTCAACTAACAATTTTAAAGGGAAAGAAAATGGAATCATAAAAAAAAGAAGAAGAAGAGGGAC